CGACTGCGTTCGACTTAGAGACATAAGCAACACTAGTGTTCTGCCTCCACCCAACTTCCCGACAAGCGAGCTTGATGGATGGCGCTGCATCGGAATAGAACACTCCGACTTCTTCACCAGGTGCAATGAAATGCCTAAAAGCTAAAACACAATCCTTGGCATGACTTCTAGCTGAAGGATAGATCCAACGAAAATTCGTAGCGACATCTTTCATGACCATGGCAACCCTGTCACCATCGATTGACTGTTCATTGGCATCCCTAGTCACAAGATGGTCCCCAGTGATGTGATCCCCAAACTTGTTGGATTCCACAGTCAAAGATTCCCCTTTGCTACGTTTGGTAGGTTTGTACATCTTTGCACACTTGCATGTTTCACAAAAAGGATTCTTTGGGGTATGTGTCATCATGTGCCTAAGGGTCCTGGCCTCTTCTCGAAGTGCAGCTTCACCGCGATCAATTGGTTGAGGTTGAGGCAGTTGAAGTCGACCGTCAACTGGTTCTTCAGGAGCTTCGGCTTCATCTTCCGAACCCACATCACCTTCAGGCGTCATGGCTGCTGGAGGTCCTGGCGCAAGTTCACCAGGGAAGAACTCCTCGAGGCTATCGTCACCACGTCCAGGGATTTCATCGTCATCTGCGATGGAAGCCTCATAAGGTTCTTCGACCTCTTCGACTTCATCCTCGGACTCAGTGCCGACGGCTGACATGCGAGACCTTCGAACAGGTGAGATGATAGGCCTGCCGTTCCCGGCAGCGGAGTCCCATGAAAACGGAATCCCTACTGCAGCGGGTACCTGGCCATCTCTTGATGGTAGATAAGGAACAAAATCTTTGACTTCAAGTTTGATCTTAGTTCCATCTTTCTTCTTGAAATACGGGCGACTAAAGCTTTTCCAAACAAAATCCCATCCATCTTGAATACATCTCATCCCTACCGATATTACAGCCGGGGTATCGGGAAGAACATATGGATGAACTTCTTTGTCGATGCAATCAATATGAACAGAAGCTTGTTGGTCAGCTGATTGAGAACCATTTGCAGTGATTAATTCAAGGGGTTCATGAGAGTGATACACAATGTCATCGGGAATCATCTTGCTGCAAACTAAGTCCTGGGCACTACCGGTGTCAGCAATCCATGCAATTTCAGCGGATGCATTACGCTGCTGAGAAGGCATGTGTCCTGGCAATGCATTCAAATCGGAACGGATGCAGTGGCGACAGCCGATATCACTGTCACATTCAAAGCTGCATTTGCAAAGTTTACCATGCAACTCCCGAAAGACAGCTGATTGCAACATCTGTGCCGCAAGTATTGCATCACTTTCTCGTGCTTCGATCGTATCTTTACGAGTACGATCGTCCTTGGTGATGCGAACTGGATTGAAAGTTCGTTGTTTGGCTTGGCACGGATACAAATTACAATTTTGCTCGATGGGAACTTCGAAGATTTCATCGTTGCCCCCAAATGAAACAGTGCGATTGGGTGTAACTGGCATGGCAAAATGCTGGTTGAAACAATGCGGAGAGGCGATGCCTTCCGGCACGCGATGAGTGCTGGTCGAAGGGTTGACGACTGCGACCATCATCAGAGCGCGCATCAGGCAAACTGCAGCTGAGCCAGAGGAAGATGGTTTTCCCCCTTTGTCCTTGAGACTCTGAGAGCCTCTCGAGGAATTGGAACCTCGACTTGACGATCTGGAGCGATCGCCCTTCTTCTTGTTCTTCTTCTTCTTTTTCTGGCTCTTTCCACGCTTGTCATCTTTTGTAGATGCAGCTGCAGGTTTCGGTGGGTGTTGGAAAGCACAGTCATTACCTCGTTGACACTTACCTGCCTTCCAAAACTTACACACCTGGTTCCGAGATCCTGGAGACAAAGACCGACCATTGCCCCTTGACTTGGACCTGGACTTGCCTTTCTTACCTCCGCCTTTTCCTTTGTCTGCCTTTTCATGTCGGTATCGGCAATCCTTTCCCCTGGTACACTTGCCAGCCTGGAAGTCATAGCAAATGCCAGTGGGCTTTCCCGCAGATGGCGGTCGCGTGGGTGCTGGCGTAGCATCTCTTTTGCCTGAAACAGACTTCTTGGTAGCCTGACGCATCTTCTCAAGACGTCTCCTCTCAAGGTAGTCCCTTGCAGCTTTCATGAGAAAATCATAAGAGCGGTTGGGTTCCCCCTCCGGTGTGCGATCATACACAGCCAGATCATGGGAGAGAGGCTTGAAGTTCTTGATGGCGTTGTGAAAGTAGGCTTGCTTCCACATCATGTCAGGCTCGGAAGTCATTCCAGCGATCACAGCGTCCCATCGGGTGATGAAACCTCTGAGATCATCATTGACTAAGGTAACTGCCATGAGGTCCTCAATGTCGTACACTGCACCATGCTTCCTACTTGTACTGAAGTGTTTATGAATCATGAGCAATGCTTGACGTCCCCTAGCTGGTGTCCCTGACTTGGCTTGTTCTTCTTTAAAGATGTCAAGTTGCCGTGCAAAGTCCCCTTCGCAGATATTGGTGAGCGAAGACATGAGCTTTGCGTCCAGGGTCACGAATTTACCTGAGTCCTTCAAGGCATCGACAGACTGATCTGTCCTAAACACTTCTTCTACCCATTGAAAAGCTAGGTCGGGTTTAGCAGAAGCAGCAATTATGGCATCCCTTACTCGGATTCTCCAATTCCTATAATTTTCGGGTTGAGGGAACTTAGGAACTAGGATCCTATCAGACTCTTTGGCCTTAGTATCAGTAGTCCTAGAACGCTCTAAGGCCCTTTTGACCTTTCGTGCAAAGGAAGTCTCAGAATCCGAACTTGACGTCGTAGGGGACGTTGATGATGAGGGTGAGGATGAAGGATCTCTTCGACGTCGTCGTCGCGAACGGCCACGACTAGTCTTGCGGTCCTTCTTCTTGTCTTTCTTGTCCTTGCGACCTCTCTTGTCGTCATAGTCATCATCACCATCGTCATCTCCTGGAGGTCCACCGCCGGGTAATCCCGGTGGCTTCGAAGGTTCTGCCTGAAAATGCACATCGTCAGCATCTGATGAATGCTGAGGCTTCTTGCTTCCCAAAGCTAACTCCTCAATGGTTGGACCTTTGGGCTTCGAGGATTGTGGAATGGGTTTTCCGGGACCATAATGAATCACAAGTCCAGGAGTTCCCTCCAGAGGTTGAGACTTTAAATTCCGGATGAGCTCTCTCTGCTCCTTCCGAAGCTTCTCAATCTCCGCCTCGAAGTCCTTCTTCTGAGATTCGGCCAGCTTATGCATGTTCAAAGCGTGTTGATTCATTGCATCAATCTGAGTGCGGTACTCGGCAAGTTCTGAACGTGCTGCCTGCAGGTCAGCATTGGACTTCTCCGCAGACGATGTCAAGACACCTGCATTGTTGACCACATGAGTCAGTTCGGCACTCAGTTCCCTGATGCGATGATCCTGCGCTGTGACCTGCAGTTGAGCAGATTTCTGCTCACTCATCGCCTGGGCGGCCTGCTCGTTCAACAAAAGGTTTCTCCTGGAAATTTCTTCGGCTGCTTGTTGTTCAACGCTTGCAAGTTGATCTCGAGCCTCACTCACAAGCTCCATTCGTTGACGTTCCATGACCTCAGAGTGACGTACATTTGCCTCACTCTGCAATGCCTGCTGTTGAGCAGCCATGAGTTGGTTTGCCAGGTTTGGATCAAGACCTTGTTGTACCACTGCCACATTGGCGGTACGCTGATCAACACTGTTAAAGTTGATGGTGTTGAGCTGACTGATGTCAATGTTTGAGTCCAAGACACCTGGCATGTTCCTGCGTGGATCTTGACGGCATGGGTCAAACTCTTCATCCAGATAACTCATATCCCCTTCTGTCGTAGCCGCACCTGAGTGGATCACCACTTCCTCCGGTTGTGTAGGGTTCGCTAAGGCCAGAGCAGCCGTGGCGTTCCCGCCCGGGGCAGGGAGCGCGGGGGTTGAAGCCATTGCGAAAGCTACAGAGAAAGAACGAAAAGTGCGAGAAAGGAAACCAGCCAATCACCTTTGGCGATACGGCTGATAACCTGTAGAAATAGGTTAGTAGCCACTTAGTGCCACAAAACAAGTAAACTGCCAACGCACTATTTCTTGAGCCATAGCGTACGGAGTATGAGGAGTGAAAAGGTACATACATGGTATGCTACTGTGCAACAACATATATATATATATTATATTATTATATATATATATGTATTATATATAATATTATTTATATATGTATATGGGATATATGTATGGGATACATACCGAATATGTATAATATATATATATATAGAATGAATGGGGGATGCCCCAATAGCTGGATTATCATGGACAGTGCCATAAAAATTGGTAATTTAGGGGTATCCCAATTTTAAGAATTTAGGGAACCTCCATATATATATATTATGGGATATAGCAGTATATGGGGCATATGTTCTAATCATATTATGTCTGATGGTATGATGTAAGTGTATGATATGATATACCCCTCAAGCAAATTAACTTGGACCCTGCCAGCTGGGGAAGATTGGTTATGACCAGGGTCTATGTTAATTTACCGGAGAGTATTTCATGGGATAGCATATACGGTGTACATGTTTTAATCATATAATCATCAATATATGGGACAGCATATTTGGCCATATATGGGAGGCCGGGAAATACTACATATTCATTCGTTTTCTACAGTAATTGTGATTGCTGTGTGGGAAATGCTATGTACAGTAGCTATTCACTGACTTTATGCAATGATTGGTCATATCATGTGTTCCTTCTCACATGCAAGGGATATTGGTGCATATTTAAAAGAAATGGGAGCTTACAAATCGTATGCTCATATTTTATTAATACGTAATATTGAATAATCTGATATGAGATATGATATTTGTGCGTGGTTGTGATTCTGTCTTGATCATCCATTTTCTTGATGATAGGATAGGTCCATAGGGAAGAGAGAGAAAACAGAGAGAGAGAGAGAGTGAGCTGTGCAGTGCCAAAGCACGTGACAGCTGCATCGGAAGGCCGAGGTCTCCCACACTCCTCGATGAATGGCTGGAGAGCTTTTGATGGGAGAACCATCTACAAATCCAACATGTTACAGCCATGTTCTAATACGCACGGCAGAACGACATGTTATAGCTGGACATTGCCCCTACTTACCCTTCTGCATTTTACCCACTGACGATTCCTCGGTTGGCTCCTCGGTTGATTGGATCAATTAACCCTGGTACCAGCATTGAAATGCGTTCGAAAACATTCGAAAACGCTGCTGGTGCGGATGTTCAACTGCTCCCATAGCTTTTTGACCTATACCACACCCTTTGCCTCACATTAAAAACGAGAGATAATGTGGAGCCCCGGTCGGGAAGCCTACCACTACCAAAGTGCAGCTAGTAAAGAGTCATTGAAAAGAAAAACGCAGCAATCAGAGATCGAAAACGACTCCCCGGATAGTCCTCTCTTAGATGTTACCCAAAAATTAGCGATTCGTGGCCAGTAACTTGGGTATATCCCAATTCTTTCCGGTAACTGTTAGCGGTAAACTACCAGTTTCTTCTACCAGTTGCCTAAATTGTATATGTCATGATGTTTCTCAGTTGGGTTTGGCCACTTAGTTCCTAGCCCTAGCCATTTCCCCACATTTCGCCCATCTAAGTCGCACCATCTAAGTCTAGCCGGCATTGCCGGGGTCCTCAAGGAGCCGGTATCACTGTGTCCATCCTCGCACGGATGCGCATGTCGGATAAAACTCATGTAGTTGTTTGAAAAAAATGTGAGCCGTTCCAAAATCCAAGAAATTTGCTATGGATATGTATGTGTGTGTGTGATTGTGTATGTCTGTAAAGTAAAGTAATGTCATGTCTTGTCTGTGTCTGGTCGTGTCATGTGTGTGAGCAAGTGTGTGCCCAAAAAAAATCACCGAAACGGTCGAAGAGCTGCGCTGCTGCGCCGGCCTTGTCTTCCAGCCCCTCATCCAGTTTGGGCAGCTCTCGGGCTTCTCCCTGCAGCGCAGTCAACATAGACCTCTCTCTCTCTCTTTTGTTGTGTCCAAAAATGGGATATTATGGAAAGAACTAGTAACTAGAGGTCACTTTGGTGCATGAATTTCATCATGAATCATTCAATCATTTGAAATCATTCATTCCGTTCATACCTCATTTGGGGCAGGGGATTTCCAAGACTCCAAACCGCCCAGCCCCAAAGCACCCATCAACTTCTGGATGATTCTTGCACATAAATGTCGCACATGTTATGCAATTGTTTAGGACTTCTTCGTTTGGAGGTTAACTACTCTGGTTGTTCCACAGAGCTATGGAAAATTGCCCATGTCGAGATGATTTAATTTGTACCTATGAAAACAACCATTGAAAGATGGTGCTCTTCCATAGCTATGTGAAATTTCCAGAATTCAAAAGCAGCAAGCTTGACAGCATCGAAGTCCGGATGGATAGTTTCAGTGAAACACGGGAACCCACCACTGCAGCCGCTCCTCCAAGCTTTTCTGGGCTTCCAGGGAATCATCCTGCAGCCTTGGGCCCAATTTCCAAAAAAAACACAGGAATCGAAATGTTTGCGCATTCCGATCCGATTCGAAGTTTGGTGTTGTAGCCCCTCTACCCTCTGGTAATTTAACATAGCTATTGAAAATCACCAGTTTTAATGGGAAAACTCACTATAAATGGTGATTTTCAATAGCTTTTTGTATGTTTACCGGAGGGTCTATCATATCAATTCATATCATAAGAGAAAGATCAAAGGACCAGCGACTGACATCCACCCAGTTCCACCGAGTGGCGCGGGCCGCCACGGAAGGCAGGTCTCCAACCACACTTTCCTGAAATCGATGTCTCCAAGAAGCATTGTACATCACAAATAGTCAACCAACAAATAAGCACGAATAAGCTACATCTAGGCGTACAATGGCGTAGATATTTACATAATTGCTTGGTTGTAAATAAGGATCCCAGAATCAACAGAACTGTGCATTTGGCCAATTGTCAGTTTTACCTCCCCTACCACCGTGAGCCTGCCATAGACCCTCTGAGACTTCTTCAGCCGCAGCATGGAAGGCGGAACTGCCTCTGCACTGTGGCATCACTGTGACCCGCACATTTTGGTCCTTCGTTCATGTTCAATTGAACCACATCCTCATGCTACCGACCAGTACCACCAATCCAAATTGCAAATTACATTCCCATGTCATCCCATATCCCCATACACCTCCTCATACCACCCATCCAACATATACTGGTTTCCATGGCTATGGGTCAAAACTCTGGTGCCACAGTGAACATCAAAACAGCTGATCATATCCAGCAAAGGATGTTCATCTCCCCAAATAATGGTAGTAGTTTTGATCCATCCAACTAGGATGGTCGAAAGAAATGGTGCCCCAAATCTTGATGGTTTATCGGAGTTTATCATCATTTTCCCAATTCATCCCATCCCGGGCCCATCAGTACCCTATGAAGCCTATAGTTTAGTAGCGTGGATGCATTCTGGGGCCCATTTGTATAGGTATTGCATAGCTATTGGCCCATCCCCAGAATTCAGCGCCTGCGGCGCACTGTTCCATGCAGTGCCTGGTCCAACCTCTTGGACCCGATAGCCCTGCAATGGCAGCAACGGCTCAAACGCTCGAGGGCCTTGGCAGCTTCCGCTTGGGCCGTTGGGCAGAGCAGGGGCTAGTTATCATTTGTTATTCATCCAAGTCAGGGGTAAGGAATCTTGACCCATAATCAATTACACGGAGAGACAAGACCCAAACACCCTTATCATTGAATCATCCTTTATCAAAGTGATTTCTGGACATTTCTCTACCCGGGATGAGATGGGAGAACTGTGCTGAGGCCCCCTGACTGGGAGAGCACCTTTCAAGCTTCCCGCTCCGAATCGTTCGCTCCATCTTCACATACCTCAAAAGCTCAAGTTTGTGCCACCAACCGAGGACCCAACAGCCAGGACCCAAAAATCTGACCACGGGGCCCATGTGCATGGAAGCCACAGGAATTTCCGTAACAGAATCTAGGTCTACATGCACCCAATTGAACAAGACTAATGTCATTACTAATGCTGATAGTGTGTCAAACTCATGCCACGCACCCATCTTTCCCCCCAGCTTCAAGTGCGGGAATCCATCACCGCCCTTCCAAGCCCTGGTGCATGGCATCTTCCAGTGCCGCCTTGCGCTGCCTCACCCAGTTCAGGCCGCTGCGATAGCCTGGCAGACGCTTCACCTCAGCAAGATGCCAGGGACCATCAGGGCTGGGAATTTCAGAAGCCTACAATCGAGGTATTGTAATTAGCATGTAAAGCCATGGAAATTGGGGACATATACCCTGAAATTTAATGAATTTTAGTCCTTACATAGGCTGTATGATGGGTACCTCCAATCCAGTTACATGAAATGGCCATTGACTAAGGGAGCCGAAGATGGAAGAAAACTATAGAAAACCTAGCTACTGACTGCGATTCCGATGGCCGTTCCAGAGATCGACCAGTGGGGCGGGCATCTCTAGGTGATTCCACCTCCTACAGATTTTAGGAAGGGCAAATGTCATCTTCTAACTTTTGATCTGCCAGCAGAAGCGGGTTTGCCCCTGCCCCGTAAGAGGCTGGATGAATACATGCAGTACTTCAAGCAAACTGAACATGATGTTCATCACTGCTAGGTCTATGCCCGCCAATACTTCAGTCAAACTAATGTAAAATGCATCAAAATTACCTTTTTGAAAAGTGGTTTGAGGCTGCAGGCAATTGCAGCCATACATTCAGAAATATGAAATATGTATACATATATACACATATACACACATAGAGAGAGACCTGGATGGAAATTACATGAAATTACATGAAATTACGTGTCTTCCATTCTTCCATCTGCGTTGCTACTTTTCTATCCCGTAGCCCACTCCTCCCAACTGAGCACTCACACAGGACGAGGTGGGATGCTCTCTGCGGCATCTTAGCGAAGGGCTGTGGATTCCACTCTTGAAGTTGGATCACGTCCCACTTGGAGATAGTGGATGAGCTTGAACACCGCAGATGTCCAAGAAAGCACAAGAAATTGCTATTTGAACTCTAGATTTATTTGGTCTCTGAAAAATCCACCTATGTCATACATCACTCACTCACACCTCTGAAGTTCCGTGATGCAGTTTAATATGCTCAATGAAAAAGAAATAATTATAGTATATAATTAGATAAGCAGCGGGAGGCGCGAATTTGTGCACCACTCAGTCGATGATGAACATAAAACGCACGTTGAATAAGCTGAATCGTGAGATTCACATATGGGTTTACAACACTTTACAACAGTTTATCAAAGCAGGGACTGGGTCCTTGGGTCTCAAATTGTGAACCCATGCGTAACCGTCGCCCTTCCATGCCCCACATTTTGGGCATCCGGACCCTCCTCTGGCGTCACCTCAGCGTCAGGTATTCTCTGCATGGCCGTCACCGCCAACACCTGGTTGAAGACGTTTCTGCTGCTGCGCCGCCGCGCAGGAGCCTGTGGAAATCGATGGCGGGCGCGCAAACATGGACCCACATACTGGTATACTTGCACCGCTTGCACCCACATCATGTGTAAGTTCAAGTTGGAAACCCGCTCCAATCTGGCATTCATATCAACTTTAGGTCACAATCCCGGCAATGATTGCCATTGTCATGAAATCAATGCCCAAAGGTCAATGTACAGTAACGAATGTCTTTACGATGCAGTCTTCCCTACACCCATGGCATGCTTCACGAGCTAGCCACCTCCTGCCGTTTCTGCACCAAGTCCAGTAGCCGTTGCTTCTCCTGCCAAGTCTCGATGATTAGAATCAGGGCCACCGTAAATCGGATGAACATGGATGAACTGGTAATTTCTTACGGAGGCATCTTTTGTATGCTCTTGTTTTAAAAAATGTCTTCCTAAACTACCTGCTACGCTCTGGACTCCCATCAAGTTGGATGCCCAGGGGGTGCAGTATCTAGCACGGCAAGTCCATCTGCTCCACGGCTTGCATATTGTTCTGTCGCTGGACCAAATACTGCCCATTAATTCATGCGAGTTTGTGAAGACTTGCCCAGGCAACGAGGACAAAGCCCATCATTTGGGCTTGTCTGAAAATCTGTATCTGAGACTTTGCCGCCTTTGCCCCAAAACCACCCAAAAACCAAGGGTTTATCGTCATGTTCCCTCCAAAGAGATGTTTTTTTCTTGCGGTAAATCCCATTTTTGGACACAGCTCCATTCCACCATTCCCTGCGGCCGGCGCCAGGGCCTCTGGGAACTCATCCACCAGCTCCCGAAAGGCGGTGTTGTTGATAGCAAAGGTTAACATCCTGCAGGTGCCCAGTCTCGTGGTATCGCACGTGCTTTTTGGCAAATGTATGGGATAGATGGGTAGATGCCATGGGCAAAAACTGTGGACCTCCCCCAAATCCATCAAAATCCAAAAATGCACTACATAAAATTATAGAAACATAATGACAATACCAGGGGAGCCTAATTGATGATGATCACCTACTCCATGTTGGGCAACTTTGTCTAGGCCATCCTGCTGTAGTTCGGTCTTGTTTGGGCATATTGAGGATCCGTTAGCTTGAGGCAAGCGCCCAGTGGGTCCCACAGACCCAGCATGTTGATTGGACTGGAGAACTGCACTCCTCTCATCCGCTCGAACCGTTGCAGTGGCGGAAGGGACGAAGCCCAGAGCTACAGACTCACCAATAAACCTGCATCCAACAGGTGCAAACAGAGCTCACAAGAGTCGCAGATTGATTTGTGATTATTCTAGTACATTCTTGTTGTTGGGTGAGGGTGCCAGTGTTCTCTTCATCTGTAATATTTTTGGCTTATGTCTCACATTGCTATCTCCATCTCTGCACTATTCACAATCAAAATCATAGAGCCACTGGCCAGATCCCATAAATTGGCAAACAAATCGTTCCGTTGCCGCCGCTAGGTGCTAAGCTGCTAATGCCAAAGAGAAAAGGGTGTGTCAGTGTATCACTGCCAGCACCAACCATCCATGAATTTCAGGCTTTTTGAACCGCTGGTAAGAGTGGCAGAGCCAGGCAATCTCCGCAGCTTTGACGGCGAGGCTCTGAAAATTGATGTTGCCTCCCTCACTGACTAAGATTCTTTGTGCTCAAAAATCACTGGAACTTTCACTCTATACTGTTGGTTCATTCTAGTCACTCTATTTCAATCAACTGTCTTGCTGTTGGGTCCGCTTGATTGTGAATCCGGATTCGGAGGGCCAAGGCATCGTACGTTTGCATCAGCTGCAAGCCTTCTTTTTGAGCGTAGACTTGCATCGCTGCAAAGATCTCTTCACGAGAAAATGGGGCACCATTCTGAGCCAGCAACTCTGCTTTCCTCAGAATGAGCGTGGTGTCGTGCAGTTCACCAACGTCGTCCCTCTTGTTAACTTGCCACTGGCCACTAGATAAATTCGAAAGAAATGCACCCCGCAGCTTTCGTAGAATGTCCGAGCGGCTGTCACCAGATCCAGGCAACATGCCGACCTGCCGCAGTAGGTACTTATTTGCCGCTCGATTGAGGAAGCAGAACATAGGCTCCTTCAAGTCAGCATCCACCTCATCTACATAGCCAAGCTTTTGAAATACTTCGGCTACGAGTGTGGGTGAGTCCTTCTTCACAAAGGGGCCACCACCCCTCCACACTTGACGTGCTCGCCGAGACCCAAAAGTCTCCTGACTTTGCTTCCTAAATCCTCCTCCTACTGAACTTATTGGAAGGAAAAATGCTAAATTGTCAAAGTAGACCTTCCCAGAATAGCACTTCACCTTGTGCATGACATCATGCACAGCAATGGTGGCAAGATGAGGGGGGTAAACTGTTATTGAGCCAGAACAATTTTCAAACCAGAACTTCGCGCACTTTTGAATCAGGAAGCCCTGATCTGCCTTGAGGCCAAGATCCTCAAAAAAAGCCTCCACAATCTCATGTGGAGGAGGGTGGGTCGATTTGTTGCAAGCTTCAGCCATCTGCACGGACCCAGAGCCATCATCATGGAGAATTGCACGGACCTTGGGCGCTGCATCAGTTTCCTGAAGTTTTATTACTTGCACTCCGGCAGCCTCATACTTGTTCACGACTCCAGTTTTGCCTTCGGGGATAAGCACAAACGCCTTTGCCTCGGCAACAGAACCAACAAAGCCAGCATCTGATGTCAGCAGCGCCAATCTTCCGGCGCCATGCATGCGGGGAGAAAATCTCATCATTGCTGACACAATAGCCTCCTCGTTTGGTTCGGTTGAGTATGTAGTTGCCCGCGGTACTGCACAAAAAGTGACGCCAGGCTCGCTGATGAAACGTTTCCAATTCCTGTTGGACTCCCGTCTGGGTGGGGCAAACAGCAAAGTGTGAACTTCATAGCCCTCCTTTTCCAAGCAGCTGATTCCCTGCCTGATAACTTCGATACCATGCACATCTGCATCCACCAACAACTGTATTTTCGCTGATGCAGCCACTTCTGGGAAGCCTGTTTGATACTTAGCCACCTGGCTTCCAAGAAATGAACCTGGTGGGCACTTTGGGCCCCACCTGTTCCAGGACGATATGCTGCGACTTCCTTTCAGAAGATTCTTCCATTGACAGCCTTGGCTCAACACTTGGCGGTGAAGCAACAGGGGTGCGCGCTTCACTCGCATCCCCAACATGGCGCCGAACCTCCGGGAGATTTTCCCCAACAAAATAGGAAATGTTTAAAACTCCTGCATTACAGAGCCAAATGTCTGCAGCATTCTCATCCCTGGCGTCTTTGAGCAAGATGGATGATGCTCGCGCGCCACCGGGACATGCATATACATGCATGGCACAGGCGAGATCTACAAACAAATGCATGGCTAAGCCAACCTCCCAGCTGCCACTTCCCCCATGTCGCCATCCCAAGAAACTCGCCGGCGCCAATTCTCCCGACAATGCGACCTCGGTGCTGTGAATCCCAACATCTCCCAACCAAATCCCAAGAATGTCTGACCTGGCAGTGGATGGAGCATCCTCAAGCACTGAGGCTTGGACCGCCTTTCTCGATGGAAGCAGTGCCTGCCCAGCTTATGCCAGTCATCCAGTTGCAGGTAGAATGAGCTCTGCTGTCCATAAATGCAATGCACATGGCTGTGTAATAGTGTAACTCAATGATTCAACATGCTCTTCTATCCCCAGAATCTCCTGTCACTAGTTCTACTTCTACCCCAAGCTACGAGTACTTTTGCAATCATCAGGATTCAGGCAATCTTGTTTGACATTATCATATTGTCTGCTAATGTCTGCTATGGCCGTGAGCCGTGAGTTCGTCAGCTCCAGTCTCTTGAAGCTTGCCTTGCTGAATCAGAAGGCTGAAGCCAGCATCGGAGCCTTGGCCATGAGGAGTTGATGGGCAGCAAAGGGCCGGCCAGTGACAGGGGCAGCCACGATTCCACAAATTGGGCAGACAGAAATTCAATGGATGGTCCCGCACAAAAAAAAAAAGTGACAAATTACATCACCCCAAAACAACACAGGGTACCATAACACTTTTTTAGCTGCACCCTCGAACCTTCTTCCAGCAAAGTCTGACCAGGAAGAAAGACCTGCATGGCAGAAGATCCGAACAAGTCCAAAGAACAGATCCGGCAACAAACCAAGGAGGTATGGCGGTGGTGTAGCATGTGGCCATGTAGCATGGTATAAACATAGAATGTGTATCGACAATTCATAAACTTGGATCTGCCCCTTGGCCATGCCACACACGGAATGAAAACTGCGCCCCCATCCTCTATGAGCCGATCCGTTTTGTGAAATTTACCAATCCCACCAGGACTAACAGCTGTCAACATCAAGCCGCACATAGCCATCCCGCCATCCCTACATCTCTGGATTCCATGGCGATGTTACAACAGGGCCTGCTTCTCCAGATGCTGCGCCATGCGGGTGAGAAACCTCAGCCCCCCGGCATGCTACTTGCAACGCACCTCGCGTTCCTGCGTCCCATCGGCTTATCTCATCTGTTGGACTCTCCTTTGGGGATCTTCTTGGGGTGAAATTTAGGGTTCCGGACCCTTTGGAAATCCCAAACTGAATTTCTGGAAGGTCGGGAAATGTCGGGAAGGTCCATGCGTTTTCCCAGCAAACCGCCTTCCACAGCCCTCACTGCATCCGAGGAACGATGGGTCGCAGTTCTTCAGAAAGCTTGTGGGCTGCCTTGGCCAATGGGCGAGATAGCACCACTCATAGCAGTTGCAGCATTTTACTCCCCTTTTGCTGATAAAGACCCACCTACTATCTACATCACTCTCTGAGACTCTATATGAGTTTATATCTATAGAAGCATCTATATGTCTATATGTACACCGTAATTACCATCTTTCAATAATTGTTCAGAACAGAAACAACAAAGACTTCTGGCCCTGCAGAGCACAGCGGCAAATAATGCCCATCCCCCATGCGGCCCAGAGGCTGGGCTGGCAACTCCTGACCCTGCGAGATGTGGTGCACTGCCATTGCAGGAACACCGAGTTGAGAGAGGAAAATATGGAACAAGATGGTGGCATCTCCATCAGTAGAATCAGTAGATATTAAGATATATTAAGAATCCATGAGTACATGAGTTGTAAATCATGTCCCAGGGAAGCATCAGTTTTCCGTAGCTGTGTCAGTTCAAATCGCAGGGCAGCTCCCCATTGAGAGTCATCCTCCTAGGTGGGGCCATTGGGGCCGGTAGGGCCAGGACACAACTAATAACTAATTGAAATGGAAGAGGCTCTGGTGTGCAGCGACCTGCTGATTTCTGTTTCATGATGGATCCAGTGGCCAGAAGCCAGCCCCGATAGCTGTCCACCTCCTCCCCGGGAGCCTCTGAAGATAGGGTCTGCACGGTGGACCGCATCTTCTTCTGCAGCATTAACTCCATCTTCCTGAGTGATGGGCTGCCATAGTTCAACTCTGAAAATGGTAGGTATGAAGCACTAGATAGGTAAAGCACCATTTTGTGCTTTGTCTAACCCCTTGGCCGGAGAAATACAAAAAGCCCACAGTAGAATTTGCCAGCGATTTTGCTGAATGAATCTGACTGGCTGGGCAATCGTCGCATCACGGGACACATTCAAGTGGAAATTAGAAAGATTTAGAAAGGACAACCAGCTTGTTACCACTATATGGTAGTTGACTGGCTGCCTTGGACTTCGGAGGTATTAGTGAAATCCTAACAGGATCCAAAAGGTACGACACATGCTGATTGCACTATAGAACTTGAAGTCCAATTGTGTCCACTTATAGATTTGTGCACCATGTCCATGTCGCCCAATGTCTGGCACTCCATCTGCCTTTTGCACCAGCCTTTTCTCCGGGCGCGCTCTGCACGGGGTGACCGCAAGAGACAAACGTCACGGCCCCGAGGCTTTCAGTCGCATCTCCCGGTGTTGCTTGATGAGATCCTAGGCACGGCCGGCAGGATGCCAAGAGAACCGTGTTGCTTCAATTGGGGGGGAGCACTGCCCCAGTGCCCCAGTGATGTTTCGGAAATAGTGGCTGTCAACCAGCAAAAATGATGAGTTTCACCACCAGCAATGATCAAAAAATGCTGACTGAGTAAAGCATACTAAAGCTATCGTTGAAAGGGGCGAACCGCCAAAAATCATCAACAAAAATGATGGGAGTTGACCACAAGAATTCCACCGAAACGTTGGTTTCCACCAAAACCGACGGTTGTTGATGGGGACTGGACCATTCTTCAACTTGCATCGAGCATCTTCTGCTTCCTTCTGCAGTGCCTCACGCTCGGCTTTCTGCGACTCACTCAGCTCTTCTTCTCCTGAGGCTGAGGGAAAAAACAGGAAAACAGCTAACCTATGTTTTGAGGATCATTCCAGTGCCCCCTATCGATAGACTTGCCCATGGAATACTAGTTACCTCAAAAACAATTCAGCGAGTGGGACAGTCGATTCATGCTATTCATCATTATTCATGCAGCTGAAATGAAACAAAGCCTACCACTTGCCAAAGTTGATCCAGCAAACCACATCCAGAAAATGATTTTACCACCTCGCGGGTGTCCCTACCTATCCCATTTATGTGTGTCATATTCCCGCGACACTGAAAAAGAAGACCACTCAACCTCTATCAACCTGTTGTGGGGAGGACTGCAGGATTGGTTTGACATATCCCATCGTGCACTTAGGACCTAGATGGACCTAGAATCTTTGCGAGAATGCAGGCTTGCCACATGACAATCACATTCACCAACAAATCGGAAAAGGACGTCTATTCATTTGACTGAAGGCATGCTGGTCACATCTGGTCACCCACGAATCTACATCGAAAAAGGGTACCAATGTGCATAGATATTCACAGGTTATTTCCCCAACAAAATGGTTTTCTGTTGACAGGGTTTTTTCGGGAGCTGAGCGTCTGGGTCGATGAATCACCCGCGCATCGCAGCGACCCAGCGCATTGTCGCGTTGCGAAGAGAGATCGCTAGCAGTTGATGGATCCTGAGAGGAAACCCTTCTGAACGATCTGTGACTGTAGTGAATTGCGGTGGTACATGTGTAATAGATAGTATCTAATGCATGTGTGTGTGCGTATTTCTTTAAGTGCGCACATAATTACATAAGTAGGTATGGGTGCATGTTTACTTGCCCCACTATGCATATATATATATACACATATTACAGTAATATAATATATATTATATATATACACCGTATATATGAGTTGCAAGTGGGGCTTCGAGAGTTGGTACAGGCACAATCATGGGCACTGAACTTACCAACTAAACTGCCAACTCCACTTGGGTACAAAGCAACAAACAGGGCTACAGCATATATGATGGGAGCGTAACCGAGTTAAAAACTATGGATGTACTGCGCATATATCTAAATCCAATTATAAATAAATATATACTCTGTATTTATGTGTATATATAATGTACATTGCAGATGTGCGTGTGTAATTGTGTGTATGTGTGCATTAACAGTGCCCAGAAAAGGCATAGAAAAGGGTATATAACCAGGTGACCGGATTGATGACGACCCAACACCCCTGCCACAAGCAGTGCTAAGGGGCTCCCTTTCTCAGCAGTGCTGCGCGCAACTCTTGCGCGATGCCAGGGGCGATGACCGGGGATGTAGCCTTCTTTGCCTGTCAACAGGTTGCACTGTTCAGGTCAAATGAGCCAATTCCACATTTGGTTTACCCTCTGGTAAACAAACATAGCTATTCATTGAAATAGTGGATTTACCCATTGAAAATTGTGATTTTCCATTGTTATGTTAGTTTACCAGAGGGTAAGGGAAAATCTACGGGAAAAGCCTACAGTATATCTGGGGGTTGTTTTTCCCAAGGGTTTGCTGAAGATGTTCCCTCAAACCAATCCATTGAGCGAAAATACAGGGGGTGACGAGGTAGCCAAGTTTAAAGGCTTCCTGTTTAGAATTGCAGGGTTGTTCCCATGCCAGGGACAAATCAATAACATGAGTAAAACGGTTTGAACCAATCAACCTGCTGCATTACTCATGACAAATTGATGTTTGATACGCGATGTGTATATATATATATATATAGTTATAATTATATAGTTATATAATTATACAATTAATATACACGTGCACATTCTGACTATCATGTTTATTGTTGTCAACATGTTTAGCATTAAACTCTAATTGTTACATTATTGTCAAATCATTATTAGCCTCATTCTTATTGTATATGCATATATATATATATATGTGTGTGTGTGTATGTATATATGCAATCTACCAGTCTCATAACCGAAGCTTCACTGAAAAACCCTCTGATCCATCGCCCCACGTGCCTCATCTGACTCTGATGAAGAGCTACTGCTTGTCTTCGCCTCAGCTGCAAGCCGTAGATGGCGACCAGTGGCACAAGGTGACAGAAGTAAATTTAACATAATTCAACCTGCATTTCTACAGTAAGGTGTTTCACCTATATAACGTACCTTTTTGTCCGGGCCTCTCTAAGGTTTGCCCAGATTGTGCCCATGTTAGTTCATGGGAAGTGTGCATGACGTACATTGCATACATAAATAGAGTCCCCAACAACTTGACGCATGGCTTTCTTGGAGTGCTTCTTTTTCCCTTTCTTGTCGGAATCATCCTCGATTCTGGATTGGAAAGCTGTTCTCTGGGAATGATTTCATGGTATCAGATGGCTCAGCAGCAGGCTTGAGCTTCAGTGCCACCAGCAATCACAGGAAGCTGGGTCCTTCTTGGACTTCTTTGCTTTCTTCACCTTCTTGGCCTTCTTGGCATCTTTCTTCTTCCTAACTGGCCACAGTTTCCATCTCACGCCACTGTGCCCAAAATCGTCTAGCCGTGATGGTTTTAATTTAGCGTATATATATATATACATTTAAGGGCGAGAAGAAACCCCAGCGGAATGATGGCTATGGGCACACCAGTGGCTGCCAAAGTAGAAATCCTTCCATGCAACAGTTCTGCCACTTTCCATCCATCATCCATCCATGTTGAGAAAACTGTCCACCCTCAAAAAGTTTTAGAAAAGTCTAGACATACGAAAAGTGTCTTCCCAAGCACCTCAAACACCAGCCCCACCCCACCAGCCGGGTCGCTTGGTCATCCAACCTCTTCAGCTTGCCATGCCATGCGGCAGGGGCCCAGCTTGAGCCAAGCTCCAGCTGCAGAAGCAAAACGTGGCGATGCAGCGGTCCAACATGACACACCCTCCATGGTGGCCCCTGGGTTTCGTGGCAAACTTGGTGGAAAACGATGCAGGATATTCAGTTAAAAATTGCTTGCTTTCCAACTCATTATGACTCATGTTTTCTGGGGAAAGCTCGGGGTTCAACATCATTCTTCTTCCTATCCAGGCCCAGCTTTCCCCAAATCGGTGCATCTCAGTATCTTCATATCCGCTTCGTAGAGCTGTCGAATGACCTTTGCCACCAGGAGGATGGTTCGATGTTAACCAGGGCATTCTCTGGAACACCAAAATAGCTGCCAAATGGGTGTTCATCCGAAACAACACATCATAGGTTTTGACACACCCCGCACACCCATATTTTGAGGGGAAAAAACACAGTAGCATCTATCATGCTTAAAAAAACGTGCTGGTATGCTGACATCTGTGTCTACATGATTTGTTGTTCTCTTTATCTCCTTTTCCAAATGGCGTGTTTCTTAGGCAGCCCTTGCATCACCAGTTCATCCAAGTTCTAACGGCATCCCATTTTCCCTACTCACAATTCATCCTGATGTGGCAACCCCCAGTGGCAAATTCGCAAGCCCCATCCTTTAAGGTTTAATCAACCCCCAAATTAGTCTATACTTCATTTTAATATGTGTTTCACAGCAATGCCGGTTCATATGGTTCATTTTATCACCAGTCATCCATCCCCAGGACTTTCCCCATCTCCCCATGTAATTCCCCAGCTTTCCCAGGCGAATCCACCGGTGACCCCGGTGATTTCCAGGGCACGGGTGTGGAGGGCCCATCCACCGGCAGCATCATGCACTCCGCCACGGTGGTGCAGCGGACCGTGGCACCGCTACGGGAGCCCGTGACCAGCAGCCCGCGCTCGCCGAAGATGCCAGGGGCTGTCCTGGTGCTGATCTGGATCAATCTGGGATGGGGATTTGGAGCAGATGGCAGATGGGAAACTCAATCAGAAACCCAGATTTACTGGTTGGGATTATATAATTTTAGTGGTTATAATACCAATATTAGTGGTTATATAATATATGGTTAGATGATGCAATATTAGTGGTTATATATGGTGATTAATGATGGGATATATGATCATACTGGTTGGTGGTATACCTAACCCTCTGAAAAATATGACTTCGTCAGTTGGGATGATTCTTCCGAATATATGGAAAAATAAAAAATGTTTCAAACCACCAACCAGGATTAATATGAGAATGATGGGGCAGATCAACATATTGGGTATATGATGGGGATAAGGTAAAGCCATCAGAATCATACACGCATACGATAATTACTGCCCCCGCCCCGAGTAGCCAAAAAATGAAAGATATCTAATGAAGCATGATTTGGCGTGTACAATGCATGTGCAATGATAAGCCCAAGCAGCACATGCCAAATCCGATATGCCGATATGCATCTCACTTTTTGTGCCACCGGCTTCGGGAAAACCTCGTCAATCTACAACAAGTTCAATTAGTCAATCCTTATTTCTTCACTATAGCTGGGTCCTAAAATCATGGTGATTTTCAATGTCACGTTTGAATATTCTGAAGTAGTACCCTCTGGTAATTTAACATAGCTATTGAAAATGGCCATAGAAATAGTGGATTTTCCCATGAATAATGGATTTTCCCATGAATAATGGTGATTTTCCAGTTCGCTATGTCAGTTTACCAGAGGGTACCGCTACTCAACCACCCTCTGATGAATCCCCTTGGCCAGGCCACACGGTCGCGACCACCATCCCGTTGGCTTCAATCTCGACAATGCCGTGCACCAAGACCACCAGATGCGTACCTCGACCGTTTGAACTTCGGAAAGCTACAAGTTTTCGCAATGACTTGCGCGACTTGCGAACTGGAAAATCACCACTTTTGATGCGTAAATCATTTAATAAATCATCAACCTAAATTGGCCATGTTCCATAGGTTAATTAACCAGAGGGAACATTGGTGATTTATGGGATTCTCAGCAACAAAATTCGGATCTAACCGGCCAAATCTAAGTTTAACTGTACGCATGATTTGCACAGAAAAACGGCCCAGAAAAATCGGAAAAAATCCATCACCATGTTTGCTTACTTGAAGGTAATTCAGGCAGTAGTTCTGCGAATCAATGGCAAGCCTGCCTGGTTGGCGGCTGAGCCACCCCTCAATTGATATGACTTCTGGATCTCTGATAATTGTTCCATGAAAAGTCACAGGTGGACATCCTTCATCTGGATAATCCACCGATTTATTCATCTGGATTTAATTCACCGGTGGGTAATCCATCATCTTCCAGATTTGAATAAATGGTATAAATAACAGATGAATGGTGGATATTGGTGGATAATACACGATAATACCAATTGGTGGCATTCTATAACAAATGAATAAATCTTAAACCAGATTTGAATGCCACCAATCTTCCCTTCCCTTCGATGATCCCGATGATCTCGATGATCCCGTTGAAAAATTCTCCAGCCTGGAGTGCCCTGGGTCAGAATGGCTTGGTTCACCATGAAAGGCTGCTCGAACCTGAAATCTGGCGGAATCCACCAGACTAGTTTCAGAATCTTGCTCTCCGGTGTCATCAAGAGTGGCTTGCTGGAAAATCCCCCATTTCGTTCGATGCTTTTTCCATGAAAATCGTCATTTATTAGGGGATTTCCAAACCAGCCACGTTTGACTACTGGATGACATTTTCTGGTGTCAAAGTTGCCATTTCGGGCCTGGTTGGATTACCAACTGAGACGTAACGACCAAATCTTTCATGCGAACTGCGAACTTGGGGAGAAGCCGACAAAGGCCTGACTTGGTGATTGAGCCCCCTCCACCAAACGGACGCACCTGGACATGCTCAAAACCTCCCATGGGATTCCTCAAAAATCCCAAGGGAAAATTCCAAGGGAAGTTCCCTGAAGAAATCCCCAGCTCCCTCCCGGAAGTTCGCTTACAAAAAAAATAGGAATTGAACCCAATACCTGGTTAAGGTTGGTGCTTTGGAATCTAAGCATTTCCTGGATTATCACTATGGGGCCGCATCCCACAATTCCAAACCCATCAACGGCCAAGCAACATATTGTCCACCAGCATCCGGGTAAAGTCCTAGCAGGCATTCGTTTTTGCCGCCGATTTTGGGAAAAGCATGTAATTTGAGGCTTGCTATTGGGCGTTGTCAAAACCCTGGAAGGAACTATCAATCTAACCCGGCTACAACTTACCCCAATATCAACGCCGGATTAATAAGACCCCCTTATGAAATTGGAAGGGTATCATTTCAAAAATGTGGTTCATGCCAGAGACTTCGGGAAAAAAAAACACGGTTTGGTGGTCATATCAACTATAAATTCCCATCTCCGTTGGCGAACGCTTCATTTCCGTGGGCTAAATCTATCATAACCATGGCGTCCTACTTGGAAGTTCCAGTTATAAGTGGATAGATTACCATAAGTACAACTAAATGGGGTCTATTTATCCATGAGTTGGGATATAGTTGGGATATAACTATGATATAACCATAACCATAACATAACATACAAGTGGAAATGGTTTATATCGCAACTCATGGGGATTATCCCCAACTGCCTCAACTATATCCAAACTGATAGTTATGGTATGGTATGGTCATATCCCAAGCACCATGGCCACGCCTGGCTGAAGCCACCTTCGCTGGCACTGGCCTGTTCTAAAGCCATGGAAGCTGCCTGGGAAGACCCGAGAACTTGGGGGTCATGGGATCAACTATGGCAATGGTACCCCATATACTGAATATTATATATATACGTATATAATTGTGATTATCTATGTTTATATAACAATAGTATGCGATTTATATTGAATGTATTATTTTGGGATATCTATTATATAGGTAATGTTTATATTATGAGTCTGAAATAATCGCTATTCTGCCAAATTATTGTTGGATGGGATCAAATCTTCGGCAATTGGCCAGTTTGGGATGGGTTGACTCTATTTCAGTCTTGTGGAAACATGTCCATGTTGTGCTTAAAATTGATTTTACCATCGGAGTAAAAAAAATGGGATGTTTAGTTTAAAACATGTTCTTAGATTGTTGGCAAGTTTGAAGTTTTGGAATTATCAATTGGCAGTGTGTCAAAACCTTGTACCCCTGGTGAACATCAAAATAGCTGGTAAATGGATGTTCATCCCACTAAAAATGGTATTAATAGGTATTGATCCATACCCAATTGATGGGAGTTCAGTCAACTTCGCCTTGCGGCTCTGGCTGTGGGCTTCCACGATGGAAAGAATTCGCCTCGGCAGGGGCCAATCATTTGTTTAGTTAACACCCTCGAAATTGGTTTGAAAAGTAACGCCCTTGAAAGCGTTATTAAAGAATGCACAACAGGAACCCCTAAACACAGGTTTGGGAAAATGGTGTTCCTTTTCAAAATCACCATGTTGAATTTTATTTCAGTGTAATGTTCAAAAGTGGTTGGCTGGGAAATACTTACTTCAAAGAGGAAGGTCCCTCTTCAAACTGTCTCAATGTTCAGAAGAAAAAAAAATCCAGCCAGCCACGTTTTTTGATCAAGAACCATACCCCACGAACCCAAAGGTAAATATGCAATTTTCACTTAGGTACCCCTTTGCGTTGATTTTCATGTTGAAAGGGTTCGGGACCATGTTCTCTTGGATTTGCTACGGGACGTGGCTATGCTGAATTTGGAGCAGTTGCCCCCCGGGTCTGTGATAAGTTAAGCCATGCGCACGTGCCATTCGTCAAGCCTTACCCTTGGCCACTGGAAATGTTGATCAGCCATTGGATTTGCGGCATTGCCCGTCATTTTCAGAGAACCCCAAGTGTCATATGATTCTTTGTTGTTTCTTGTTTACTGGTGTTCGTATGTATGTATGTATGTATGGATGGATGGATGGATGAATGAATGAATGAATGAATGAATGTATGAATGAATGGATAAATGAATGAACAAACGAGTGAACGAATGAATGAAAGAATGAATGAATGAATGTA